CAGCTAATTTTTTTGTATTTTTAGTAGAGACGGGGTTTCACCATGTTGACCAGGATGGTCTCGATCTCTTGACCTCGTGATCCACCCGCCTCGGCCTCCCAAGGTGCTGGGATTACAGGCTTGAGCCACCGCGCCTGGCCTAGTCACTTACATTTTAAATTCCTTAGACATTATTTTATTGGAGCCTTACAGCTACCTATTGAAGAAAAAATTATTGTCCTGGCCATTTTCAAGATGAGAAAACTGAAGTTCACAGGTCAGAAGCAATGTATTTGAGATCATACAGTGAGACAGTGGCAGAGCAGGCACTGGAACCCAGTTTTCCCTACTACCAACTGCTCCTACTTGGATAAGACATCAAAGATACTGTTTTTCTGGACTGGAGCTCAACTTGACCTTTTACTCTTTGGAGCCATTGGGAGTGCCAGGAGAGCTGTGGCTAGCAAATGAGGATGTTTTTGCAAGGCGCCTGACTTCTCTGGTGCTTATCTTCAGGAAGGGAGGAGAATCCAGGAGCTGGTCTTTTTACCAGCTCCCTGCTATTTCCCAAGAAATGGGCAGAAGATGGCAGAATCAGCCTGGCTATAGGCTGCTGAGGGTTCTTGGGGCAAAATAGGAAGCCATTGCTTTACTGGGACATGTACCATCCTGTGTTTGACTTTTCCAGATAGTCAATGTATGGTACTCTGTGAATGGCGAGAGGCTGGGCACCTACATGGGCCATACTGGAGCTGTGTGGTGTGTGGACGCTGACTGTATCCTTGTTTTGGCTCTGAATCTGTGCTGCCAGGGTCTGCCAGCAGTGGAGAGGCTGAGTTGGAAGTTGGGAGTTGGGGGTGCTGTTGAGGGCCTAGAGAATGATATCTCCTACTCCCTGGTCTCTTCACTGGTTGAGGAAACATTCAGGACAAGTTCCAGTTCTGAATAAGGAGGTAAGAGGGGAAGAAGGGCTCTTTGGGGCTGAACAGGGAGATGAGAGGACAAGGGCCCAGGTGAACTTTGTCATGCTTCTTAACAACTCTTCAGGGGACACCAAGCATGTCCTCACTGGCTCAGCTGACAACAGCTGTCGTCTCTGGGACTGCGAAACAGGTAAGCTGGGTTCATTCACTTTTTTAGCAAATATTGAGGACCTACAGTGTAAACAGGTCCTGAGTAAACAGGTCCTAGGAAAATAGAGATGAAATCCATAGATAGTTTTCAGTCTAGGCAATAAGAGACAAGATAATAAGAAGGATGAGAAAAGAAGCCTTACGGTAAGATATACGCCATGGCGGAGGAAGCATAGATTACTATGGGAGGCCAGAGCCAGGCAACTGACTCCCTGGAGTGGGGATGGGAGCAGCCTGGGAAGTTTCCTAAGGTAAATCATATGAGCTGGGGCTTAAAGGATGAGAAAAGATGTCATCACAGCTGGGCTTGGTGGCTCACACCTGTAATCCCAGCACTTTGGGAGGTAGAGGTGGGCAGATCACCTAAGGTCGGGAGTTTGAGACCAGCCTGACCAACATGGAGAAACCCCGTCTCTAGTAAAAATACAAAATTAAAAAAAAAAAAAATGGGCCGGGCGCGGTGGCTCACACCTATAATCCCAGCACTTTGAGAGGCCGAGGTGGGCGGATCACCAGGTCAGGACTTCAAGACCAGCTTGGCCAACGTGGTGAAACCCCGTCTCTACTAATAGAAAAATTAGCTGTGCGTGATGGGGCCCTTCTGTAATCCTAGCTACTCAGGAGGCTGAGGCAGGAGAATCGCTTGAACCTGGAAGGCAGAGGTTGCAGTGAGACGAGATCGTGCTACTTATACTGCACTCCAGCCTGGGCAACAGAGCAAGACTCCATCTTAAAATAAAATAAAATTTAGGCTGACTCTGGGCATGCTGCCTATGAGTTAGCCCTGCTCTGCAAGAAGCTTTAAAAAAAAAAAATTCTGGCCGGGCGCGGTGGCTCAAGCCTGTAATCCCAGCACTTTGGGAGGCCGAGGCGGGTGGATCACGAGGTCAAGAGATCGAGACCATCCTGGTCAACATGGTGAA